AATTATCATGAACAAGGAAATATAATAATAATGCTTTTATTATTGCCTCTAGGGCATATTTCCAACAGAATTAGCTCAAGCAATATGATGAAAACCACATCTTTTTATCCTCGATGGCAACAATACAAAATCGTGCATTGCTGCCCCTGCTGTCACTGGGAAAGGACACCGCAAGATTGAACCCAAAGCTAACCACTTTTCCCATTGCAAGAAAAATCAATCTAGTAGGCCAAACTAAACCGATAATTCGAAGAGACTTGCAAAGATATCAAATCATTATAAGAATTCAGAGAAGACTCAAATAATATCCATAGATAATCTAATCATAAATCCACAATTCATCAGATCTCAGCAAACACACCACAAAAGAATATTACATCGAATATATCTCCAAGAATATCGAGGAGAACATGGTATTGAGAATCAAAGAGAGAGAGAGAGAGAGAGAGAGAGAGAGAAGAAGCCATCTAGCTACTAGCTATGGACCCGTAGGTCTGTGGTAAACTACTCACACTTCATTGGAGAGGTAATGGTGTTGATGTAGAAGCCCTCCATGATCGAACCCCCCTCCGGCAGGACGCCAGAAAAGGTCCCTAGATGGGATCTCACGGGTACAGAAGGCTGCGGCGGTGGAAAAGTGGTTTTGTGGCTTCACTAGATGTTTTCAGGGTATAAGAGTATATATAGGCGAAGGAACTAGGTCAGAAGACCCACGAGGGGCGCACGAGGTAGGGGGGCATACCTTACCCCCCTGGGCGCACCCTCCACCCTCGTGGCCGCCTCGTTGCGTCTCAGACTTCATCTCCAAGTCTCCTGGTTTGCCACTGGTCCAAGAAAGATCACCACAAAAGTTTCATTCCGTTTGGACTCCGTTTGGTATTCCTTTTCTACGAAATTCTAAAATAGGTAAAAAAACAGAAACTGGCACTGGGCTCTCGGTTAATAGGTTAGCCCCAAAAATAATATAAAATAGCATATTAATGCATATAAAACATCCAAAACAGATAATATAATAGCATGGAACAATCAAAAATTATAGATACATTGGAGACGTATCAGTAAACATCGATATAATCGTAGATATGCTTTATATCATCCTTCGCAAGTTTCTTCTTGGAGAAAAACTTTCGGAGCAACTTCCATAGGTGCTTCTTATTCTCATCAGCTATAAGATGAAGCAAGTGAGTGCGGTTATGAAGAGAATTCAACTCCTTTGGCAGATCTTCTTTCTTTTGTCGATCTTTGGCCATATGCTTCAGAAGCAGTTGTTGCATGCGCATGCTAACATCCAAGTGAGTGGGAGGTTGAGTCTTCAAGATTCTATCTCCTTGAGGAATTTGAGGACCATCAAATGTTCAGATACTTGGTTGAGGGCGATCGGGAGATTTGCCCGAAGAAAATTCTTGCATGACTTGCACTATATCCCAAACCGGTGGTATGAAACTTTTGTGGCTCCCGTTTGCCAGAAAGGTCGTGCGCATGCTGTGGTAAATTACCTTTTGGATCCATGGCATGAACACTTTGAGACTGTAGGGAATTTGAGTAAAGTCGGAGAGAAAGCGAAGAAACATGTCTTGAACATCGAAGATATATACAGCGACCCGCAATGGCATAGATAACATTTGGAAGGATACCCATGATATAGCCATCATCAGTTAAGGGGGCAAATAATATAGGTGAGCATATGGTAGATGGTTTGATTTGCAAATGTCAAATGCTCGGGACGGGCGAAGGCCCTATGTAGTCATGAACTTTCTCGGGGTCCATTGTGAAGCGAAATGCTTCAAGAGATACGATATCGATGCAATGCACACGAATTTCTTTTCCAGTATTCTTGAACCGGGGAAAATTGAAGTGATGCAAAAATTCATAGCAGAGCATTTGGTTCATTGCCTTTAGCTCATCTATTCCATCACTCATGTGGTGCTATTGGCCTCATATCCAGAGATGTACAGAATGGTATAAAATTGAAGAATGGACTCACGATTCCAAGGATGCCAGAACTCAAAATCTTTATCAGATGAAAGTCATCGAGATCTTGAAGAATTGGATGAAAGCATTTGAGACTACGCATCAAATGTATGTCGAGATACTCGTGAGGAAATATCCGATGACTGTCGTGGAGCACTAGTGTAATAGATAGCTTGTTCACGCATCCAAAAGCGGCCTGACTCAGAGGTACGAGGGCCATCATAGGGTCTGACCTTTTTTTGAAGCATTTTGTGCATCCACACCGCTACGAGCTTAATAAGCTACGAGTTTAACGAGCCAAACGATCGAGTGCTCATTACGCTTGTGAGATGTGTTCATCGAAATAGAGAGTGCGTATGCACATTTATACGATGAGTGTATGTATGTGTATGTGAGCGTATGCAATTGTAAATACCCATTATCCAGACAACGAGGAACCGTTTCCGAAGCCGGCAAGCCGCAGTTCAAACGAATTGCGCCATGAACCAAACCCCACGCATCGGTTCGAGTCGGACACCTGGTTCGGTTCAGGTTCAAAGACCCCTGGTTGAAGTTCTTTCCCTTCCCTAGAAACGCGAAGAAACCCCAATCCCTCAAAGCCCCCAAAGCCCCCAACCATGGATTCCAGTGCCGACCTCAAGGGCAAGCGCCCTCTCTTCCAGCCAGAAGACGTGCCTGCCGCCGCCGCCGCAGCGGCGGTGCCGGATGAGGCGGAGGCGAAGCCCTCTTCTTCTTCGGAGGAGGTGAAGGAGCCGGAGCCGGGGGCAGAGAAGCAGGAGGAGAAACCCGCCCTGGTGCTGGTGGCCGAGGACGGCGTGGAGGTGCGCATCTCGGAGCCCGCGGCGCGGATGTCGCAGATGCTCCGCCACATGATGGAGGACGGCTGCGCTGACGGCCGCATCCCAACCGCCAACATCCACTCCGACATCCTCGAGATGGTCGTTGAGTACTGCGAGAAGCACGGGCCGTACTACGACCCCGAGGCCTCTGAGCGCGACCGGTATCCCTTCCCGCCCTTCCCCGTCGAGCTCACCCCTACTGTCTCCTCCATCAAGCCCGTCACCTACGTCGACCCGGACCCCCACGGTCTCAAGGACTGGGACAACGATTTCATCTCCCTCGACAACTCCACCCTCTTCGAGATCATCCTGGTAAAGCGACCAAGCCGATTGTTTACATTCTTTGCTCTATATTCTACCCCAAGTAAGAAAACGCGATGAAGTCGATATCTTTATGAGTAGTATGTGTTGTGAATAGCAACGATGGTATATGTGCAAATAGAAGGAAAGTTCTGTTGGTAACTCTGCGCACAATGTGGAATACAACCTATGTGCCTTATGATGTGAGAATCAGAACTACCGGGAACATAATGTATGGAACGTTTTGGCCATGATGCAAATTATAGATGTAAAATGTTGGAAGGAGCGTCAATAGTTGTCCAAAGAGTTTAATGAATTTGACAAACTACGATTAAATTGTATAGGAAGGAAGCAATATTTAATTGAACAGAGAGGAATTAAGGGAGATAGATAGAGGGAACGGGCATAGAATGTCTATGTGTCAGCGATTTGTTAGATCTAATGTGCACAGTGCAGTGATTTAATGGTTTTTTTGTGTGTGGTGGTTAATTGTAGTGGTGGCAAAATAACTAGTGTGGTTTGTCTATGTAAGATATATAGATTGGGGATAAATTTATTTTATTGGGGTTTGTGCAGGCCGCAAACTACCTGAACATTGAGGATCTGCTGGACCTGGGCACCTCGACTGTGGCTGACAAGATGAGGGGGAAAAAGCCAGAGGAGATCCGTGAAATCTTTGAGATCGAGAACGACTACACACCAGAGCAGGAGGCGGAAGTCAGGAAGGAGAACGCATGGGCCTTTGAGGACTAAAAGATGTCGGTTGATCTTGCTTTTGTCTATGCTGCTATTCTTGGTTTCAAGTACAAGTCCTTACGTCCAGTTCTGTTCCAAGTAGTCTGGTAGATAAATAGATGGATGAGTCGGTGAAGACAGAAAACAGAGAAGCACCGTATGAGTTAGTTATAATCATCGTATACAGGAGAGTTTTGGTGTGAATTGTGGATGCGTGGATGGATGGTTTCGAAATGGTTGAATCGGTAGAACCTTAATAGCAACCTGTGTTCAATTAAGTTATACTATTCGCCAATTGCACATTTTTTGCAGTTAAGTTGTTGCTGGATCGTATCTTGGATAACCTGTTTGGTTACATTTTATTGTTGGTGCTGCCACGCTTGGCCTTATCTAGGAACTGGGAACCTGTATGTTGTACACAATTAATTCTGTAGAGTCGGACACAGTTGTTTGGTCTGAGCAGAAATTATCACCTTGAGTTTATGGATAAGTTGGAGAAAACTGCAGACTAGGGTACAAATTAAGCTTGTAATATACTCTCTCCGTTCCTAAATATAAGTTTTTTTTAGAGATTCCACTATGAACTACATACGGAGGATTTATGCTGCATGTTTTTGTGTAAATGTCTCCAGTCTGTTGAGAAATGTTTGTGGCTTTTGAGCAAAGCTTTTTAACTGGGGAAAATGCAGTATTTACGAAATAGACTTGGTGCTTGTATAGTGTTTAATTTAATAAAAGTTCTGGCCATTTGAAACTTGGTAAACTATTCTATCTAGTTTGTATTATCTTGTGGGCATGTATAGATTTTTCATATTAATATATGGTTGTTGCCTGGGAAGGACATTTCCTGTTCAACTTGCAAGAGATGCATCGAAGATAAATGTCCTGTTCAACTTGCAAGAGGTGCATAGAAGATAAATCAGGTACTAACATCTTTCCATTCTGAATTTTTTTTGGTGGCTTATATGGCATTAAGCTTTCTAATTCCATTGTGCTACGCAATTCCATAGGAGCAATTTCACAGCTCAAACATTTCTGTGCCACGAACTAGCAAGATTTCCCGTCAGCTGCTGAGCAGTCAAACAAGAATAGCTGCAGTTGCAGGGAAGAAGAAAGAACATAAACCATGCATTGTGAAGAAGCTGCAGGTGATCATCACATGAACCAGGTCGACCGCAGGACCAACGCCGGAGTCCGCTTCTCCCCCTCCATGACATACACCAGGCCAGGCTGCAGCTTGCCGCCCCTGCCGAGGTTGAAGCTGAGGAATCCTTCCAGGTGCGGGCCGTGCGTATCCCCCTCCGCCGCACCGCCCATCCTCACTCCCCATCCCAGCTCATGCTCAGGGGTGTCGGACAGGCAGCAGCCCCACCGCACCGGCCCATGCCCGGACCACCCTTCCATCTCTACCCAGCCTTGTGCTCTCATGGCTTCAAACAGCTCACACTCCACCATCGCAGCAGCGATTGACTGCACAGGCCTGGGCTGCGGTCCGTGTGCCGCAGGGTCGTTCCTCGCCATGGGAGCAAGAAGAATGTCCGGAGGAGGAGTGCCCCTTTGTGGTTTTAGGCTGCCAAAGGGAATGGCAAGTGTCCCGAGGTTGTTGAACCGGGACAGCAACGGGCGGATCTGCCATAGCCCCGACAAGCTGAGCTTGACATCTTGGGCTGGTTCGTAGCGCACCTGCCCAAACGTTGTCATGCGGTTAGCCACCATATGATCGCCGTCCTGTGCTCCTGAACCGAAGACAAGCTCGGCGAGCAACACGGTGAAGTTGGACCCCCTCATACTCAAACCAGCGGCGCAGTTGTGTTGTTCCGAGAACGAAGGCGGGCCGTCGAGAGAGGCCTGGCTCCGGAGATTCTGACAAGAAAACCTCAATCGGATTAACTCGCCGAGACACGCCGGTGGAAAAAAAAAATCTCTGGCCAGAGGCCGGACAGGGGAGACGTTACCTGGATCAAGCTCGTGCCGTGCAGGAAGCCGTTGCATTGAGCTCCGAAGGGAACTAGGATCATGGACAGCCAGTGGTTGACGTGGGCGCAGTACTGCAGCCTGGTCAGCTCCAGCGGCCTCCTCTCGGTGTCTTCTTCCCCGAGGGTCGCCCCTATCCCGAGCTTGGTGCAGAACTCTGCTGCAATGGTGTCGTTTCCCCTGGTCTTGGACTCGAGGACGAACCTGGAGTTGAGGCCCGTCCTGTTCCCCGCCTTGCCGAGGATCTCCCTGGCGTGGTCGAACTCCTCGTCGTTGACGAGGAGCAGCGCCCCGACCGCGTCAAGCGCGACCTTCACCCGGACGGGGAGCTCCGGGAAGTGGAACCCCTTGCCGCTCCTGTACATGGAAAGGATGCGGTCGATCTGCTCGTGCTTGTCCATGAGCCTCATCACATCAGGGAACGTCTCGCGCTGCAGCCGCTTCATGATTTCACCCTGCAGCCGAAGCCAATGCCAGTGAGAGAGAATGTGTGAGACTACAAGATGCTCGGTCGTCTTTGTGAATCATGGTACGGCATTATAAAAGTTGTACAGGGTGGTTGCGGTGGTGCTGCTGCTGCGGCGGCTGCTGTTGCTGCTGCTGAGACGTCGGCGGCCATGGAGGAGACGCACGTCGGGAGTTGCCCCGGAAGGCTCCGCGAATGAACGACTCCCCGGACCTGAGCAGACTCAGGACGCCGTCCAACACTGTGGGCCTCGGGTTGGCTCTGGCCGGCGGTGGGACGAGCGCCTGCTCCGGCACCGGTGGTGGCAGCAAAAGAAGCGGAGGCGGCAGCGCAGGGTCGGAGGAGGCCATGGCGGCGTTGTCGCGCTGCTGCCGCTTCCTTAAGGACACGTCACAGGTGGATATCCGCTCGAAGAAACCAAGTGGCGGCGCGTCAGCCTGCTGCTGCTGCGCCATGCTCCGCTAGAAGAAGGCGACCTCGGGAGACAGACCGGCGGCTCGCGTCCCGCCTTTTTCTTTTCTTCACGGTGCCTCCTTCGGTTATTCCTTTTGCTTTTTGTCGCTTTAGCTTTCGCTTTTTTGTTTTATTGGTTACCTGTATACTGTGCATTCAAAAGGAGAGGAGAGGCGTTTACACAGGAGCAAGCAATCGCTCAATCTCATATTGCAAAAGATCCGTTCATTTCTCGAAGCACTAGCACGAGCAAGAAACTGTTGCAACGTCTACTCTTTGAAAGAGGGCAACACTATAAAAAAAAACCATTTCCATGATGATACGTATTTATCATAGTAGGTTACGTTATTTGTCATGCATGTACATCCATGACGATTATATGACAGAATTAAGATAGTCATACATGTGTTGTTGTAGAAGCGTTTCATGACAGTACCAAAATTATCATCACGGAAGTACTCACTTCCATGACGATAAATGACGCGTTATGAAAATGCTTTCGTTATGGGTAACCGACACGTGGCATCTCCGTAACGGGTCGTCGGGTTGTCGTTAAGCTACCGGGTCCGGTTTTTGGTCCGATAATCCGCTAACAGACAACGATCAATGACGATTTTCACGTGTAAAATTTTCATTGGCCGATGGAACCACGTGTCAGCTCCGCGCTGACACGGACGTCATTCATCCAATGGGCGAGATGTACCTATGCTATGTTGACACGTGGACCGGTCCAAAAGTGGCCCATAAAGATTAAATGGGTCGGCCCAGCTAAAGGCCCACAAGATTTTGCAGACCATAATAGGCCGGCCCAGCTAAAGGCCCACAAGATTTTAAAGACACTAGTGGGCCGGCCCATTAACAAGCTGTCATGTTTTGGGCCAAATGCCGATTCATATTTGATCTGGATCATTAACAGTCTGCCATGTTGTAGGCCTAATTAGGGCCCATATGAGATCCGACCCGTTAATAGCCTAGCACGTTCTGGGCCATATTGCGGCCCATATTAGATCCGGCCCTTTAAGAGCCTTTCATTCTTTGGGCTAAATTATGGCTCATATCAGATTCAGCCCATCAACTGGACGTTGTGTTTTTGGGCCCACTTGAGGCCCGGTTAGAATTTCTGTTTGCTAAATGCCCATTTAATAGTACGACCTGATATTAGTTTCGGCCTGTTAAAATCTCGTTTAAAATTTAGGCCCTATATTTATTTTGACCTGTTAAAAGTCCGTCATATAGTTGGGCCTAATTATGACTCGCTTTGCATCCGGCCTGCTCACAGCCGATAATCTGATTGGGCCAAATAAGGACCGAGACAATTTTGACCTATTAACGGCCCTTGATGTGATTGGCACAATCATGGGCTGGGGTCTGTTTCGGCCTGTTGTTGGCCCGTGAGCTGTTCGACGCGTTTCAGGCCCAACCTACCTTTCAACCAACTAAAAACCCATTGAATTTTCTTGCCAAAATAGGGCTGACGGTTTACTCGGTCTATTAAAGGCTCGAAACTACTAGTGGGCCAGTTTACATTTAGGCCTGTTAACGGACCAAGATGACTGGGCCCATGATGCGGCCTATACATAGTGATTTGCATGGCGGCCCGATTATGTATCGTAATTTTACGGTTTGGTCGGTTTACTTTTCATGGAGCGAAGACATGACATATATATACAGTAAAATAACTACAACATCGTGAATAAGAAAAAAAAACTAGACTATACAAAGAAACTACGGCATATTACATTCACTAGGCATCAAAGTTCGCCACTATGGTAATAATGCATAAGCAGACATCAGATTACATACACTGGGCATCAAAGATCGCCACCAGTGCAAATAAATAAGCCGACAAAATAATATACAAAACGGACAACACTTCAATAGAGTTTAAGAAAGGTTAGCCCTGCACGGGAGCTGCAGTGCAAGCAGCTGAGCAAGCTGATGAGACTGTGCTTGTTTGACGCTTATATCCTCCTCACTCTGAAAGAGAAACAAACAGACATATGACAAGTTTTGCACATATAAGTATCAGTGCTGACAATTCATCACATTTCTTATTGGCGAATAAAGTGACACAATTTAAAATAGCATTAAAACAATATGGTATTGTCCAGGTTAAGACATGGCAGGAAATGATATTGTGAAGGAGTTGACAGCTTCACAACACCACTGGATTACAGATCAAGAACTCATAAGTATCAATGGTTAGTGTGCTATCAATTTATCTCATTTCAGATTGGCAAATAAAAAGATGGTTTAAACAATAGTAGAATAATATGACATTGTTCATAGTTAAGACATTGCAGAATATGATATTTTGCTGTAGTGGGTAGTTTCACCACACCACTGGATTACGGATCAAGAACAGAAGCATACATGCAGTGTAAAAGAAGATCACTTGCTCTGCATGGTTTAATTTACATGGCATGAAGAAGGAACTTGGTTGTACAACTGAAAACTTAAATTGAGAAGGACAAACTTTTGTTTATAAACTTCATAATAAACTTTATACATGCAATTTGATGCAAACACCAAAAATAAACAGCTGTTGCAGTCATGCCTAACCAAATATACACAATAAAGTTTAAAGGCTTGAGAATGACAAACTTATATTCGTGGTGAAGACCGGCTCTATAAAGCCCTTGTCCATGCTGATGTGGGGGGGGGGGGTCAATTCAAGAAGTTTACCACATAATCTTCTTCATAAGCATTGCCTTTATTCTACATTTTGTTAAGAGTAAATATAGATGTGATAATATAAGAAAAAATGGAGAATATTTAAGATAAGATGAAGAGTGATGCTACATAACCAAGTAGTTATAAATGTAAGTACAGCGATACAGGAAAAAGGTCCAATCAAGAGCAATGCAGAGCTAAACTTCTTCAGTATCATTGGTGTTATCCAACCTTATGGTAAGAGTAAATATAGATCTGATGTGTAGAAAATGAAGGGCAAAGGGAAATAAGCTGCAGAGTGATGATACATGAACAACTAGCTGTCAATATAAGTACACTGATAAAGGACAGCAAGTACTTCGAAGAACACTGTAGAGCTAAACTTTTTCATTGGCATTGGGTATATTCTACATTAATGTAACCATTAATACATATATGATAATTTGGAGCGAACAATTGATAAACAAGCTATCATCACATAATGAACCAGGTATGAATGCAAGTACAATGATACAGGACAACAGGTACTAACAAGAGCAAAGCAGCGGGCAGCATATTTGCAATATCCTGTCGTCCTTTTCAAACCGGAATTCTTCTTTGAGCAGATTTCTTGCAAAAGAGATCTGTAAGGCACATGCGGAAAAGTAGAAGTTGAAATTGTCATGTGATATCATAGACAGTACCTCATCCTGGGAACGATACTAGTGCATACTAAGGTTTTTCCATTCAATGTGTTCTAAATTTAGCACAGGAGACTTCACCGGAAATTCCTTTATAGACTTGCCATCAAAGTATGATTTCCTCAGGTAGCACCGATACTGCTGCAATGCTTCCTTGAAAAGTGCAAGCAAGCTTTGCTTGTCACGACTATCCAGATTGACCTTCGCCTACTTACAACATTGTAATGTAAATCATTGATGTGTTCAATCAGCAGAAAACAGGAAAATAATCACCATGAATAATAGCATTTACATGTAAGTGGGACAGGAAGATGTAAAAATGGTGTTTGTCTTCACTATAATCTTCCCATGATGGGAATATATGCACATAGTCTCTAACAACATTGAAAGCATTGTCTTTTAAACTGGGAATAACTGGAATGGGGTTCCAATCTGCAGGAATTGGTTGTCTCTGCAGTTGGGATATGTCTTCGACCGGTGGACTTGCTGTACTTTTTGCTGGAGTGGGATTTTTCTGTGGTATGGCTGATGCTATGGCAACTGAAATCGACATACCTTTTGCTGGAGTGCAAGTCCTGTGTGGTGGGGCTAGTGGTGTGACCAGTGAAGTATGGGTACAGTCTGCTAGAGTCGATCCTACATTTTGTGTCACTGGTTGTAGAGCCCATATAAGTGGGGTGATATCTGATTTCTCTGTCACCACCACGTTTTTCAAGGACTTTGCTGGTGCTCCTTCAAGTTCGGCAATCATCCTCTTCCTTTTTGATGTCTGATGCACAAGAATAGCATTTGAGTGGAAAACATGGTATGATGATAGATGAAATATATATTGATAATGGATGGGCATGGCATCTTGACATATATGATGGGTAAACTAAGCAGATGGCGGTGCAACAAAGTAGAAGAAATGCAAGACACCTTATGCAAGATACGGGCAATCAATAAAACCTTGCCAAATTAGAACATGCACCTTGATGGATGAACAGGACATGCCATCTGCCTTCGACTCCTCGAGGTCAGAATAGTCAATAGAATCATATGTTGAACAAGAATCTGCAGGTGGGGAGCGTATGAGTTTCATTGCATCCAGAATGGAACTCAATGCCTTGGTGACAATTTTGTTAGTCATTGCAGTGTTCCACAATATTCTTCTGATCCGCACATTCTCATATTCATTGTGATTACGTACAATATCTGAGAAGCATGAAAACATAAATAGTAGTGAGATTATCTTTGTAGTGCAGATGATATTCTAATATAGGGGTTCCCTGCAAACCCTTGTGTGCTATCACTGGATTTTGATGAGAGAGCCCATGTGTGCTATAATAGACATTATCTTTGTAATGCAGAGGATATTCTAATATAGGGGCTCCCTGTAAACCCTTGTGTGTTGTCACTGGATTCTGATGAGAGAGCCCATGTGTGTTGTAATATGGTGCGTGCTTTAATATAATCTGGCACAAGTACACACAAAAATAGGCTCCAAAAGTAAGGATAGTTGGCAGATGATAGGTTCATAATATACTGTATAGAGAGTTTATTGCCAAACCATGATAACAAGAGCACACAACAACTAGGCAGATCGTAGTGTACATAAAAGGGGTACACCATAACCAGTATATATAAATCAGAAAAGTGGAACTGGCTGG